TGGATCTTGTGTTCTGCAGTGAGGACCATCTCCACAATTCTGACTTTTTTCTCTGAATTACAAGTTTATATCTTGCAAATGAGATTCCATATCAAACAGTCTGGTTGCTAATATTCTATTGATTCAGACACAGTTCAGTTTGGCTCTATTTATTAACAAAACGAACATACAAACTAGCATGCTGCTATATGCTATAGGTGTTCTGAGTTGATCATAGCCAGGGGCGTGTCTACGTGGTGGCCAGGGGTGGCACCGGCCCCCCTTGAAATTTGGCTGGCCACCAGCCAAATTTCCCCAACCCCATTCTTAATTATACGTGTTCAGGCTTGTTTTTAGTGCATTTCTAACTGCATCTGGCAGTGGCGGAGTTGCCGATAATATATCCCCCCCCGGCCACCCTCTTTTGAGCCAGTGCCCCCGACTGGCCCCCCCTTTAAAATGCTCTAGACACGCTCCTGATCATAGCATGTTGCTATTCGGCTGCTAAGGTGTTCTGGTTGTTGATACCATGTTTAACTGATTATAAAACTATTTAAAAAACAATGTTTGACGAGTTGCACCCTAAGTATGATAAGCAGTAATATTGATCGTCTTAGCAAATCTACTAATAACAGATGTCTTCATAAACAGAGAGATCAGCTGTGTGTAAAGTTTAAACATCTGAGACACATATGCTGCAAAATGTTTAGATATCATGTAAATATTGCATTTGATTAATAAAGTCCTTTCTGTAGCCCAAACATTCACGTGTGTGTTCAATCACAGCAGTTTAACTGAACTCTAAATCATTGTTCAGCATGTTAAATTGTTCTTCCTTCTACATTATTGTGGATGTTATTCCCTCCGAATCTGATGTTTATTATGAAGAGACTCTGGCCAGTCTTTAAGATTCAGTTGTAAAACGTAGTAAACATTTTAATTTATGGCCTCTGCAATTCTGCTAATGATTACTTTTGGAATTATAGTCAGTTTGCTTCTTTCTGATCTTTGCACAATCAAATGCATGTTTCCATTGTTTAAATGAATCTTAGTATGGTAAACTACTGAAATCTTTTGCAGGGGGTCTTTAGTCAGTAAAATTAAACCCTCCAAAACGAGCACTAGCCCAGGATCTTATGAGCAGTTAAAGAGAGTTACAGAGAGGTGATAAACACAGGGTACATTTCTAATTACTGTAAAGTGTGTGTGTGTCTGTGTGTGTGGTTGAACTTTGAGTGCATCTATCTATAGCCATTGCCTTTTCATGTTTTAGGCGCCAAATATGCTCTAAGTGATCTCTTCCAGCTAAACAAAATGTGTCCGAACACTTTATAAGACAGTGCAAGTATATGTTGCATTTCCAGCCTTGCCACATGTGGCACTTTAGAAGACAATCGTGTAAATGTCCAAAAAGAAACCAACTGGACACAGTTAAAACCTTTCCTTTACAATAATTAAATAGCATAATTCTAATAATTAAACAACAACACAACATATATGTTGCTTGCTCTGAAAAAATGTGTATGCATAACAAGGCTGCATTTATTTGATCAAAAATACAGTACAGTAAAATTATGAAAAGTACCACAATTTAAAACAACTGTTCTCTAGTTTCATATATTTTAAGATATAATTTACTCCTGTGATGGCAAAGCTGAATTTTCAGCCAGTCTTAAGTGTCACATGATCCTTCAGAAATCATTCTAATATGCCAATAACATTTTTGGTGGAAACCGTGATACATGTTTTCAAGGATTCTTTGATTAATAAAAAGTTCAAAAGAACACATTGTTTCCTTTGGATGGGCCAATTGCTTAGTCCAAACAAGTCCAATATAACGAGTGTAATACTTCATTTAAATTTGCTAAACAGCAACAGCAACAGCCTCAGCAAACACAGCCAATATCAGAAGTCTAGAAAGGGTATACTGTAAATGTCTTTAATAGAAAGATCACCATGTGAAAACTGTTTACACACATCTGCTGCAAAATGTGTGTGGCATGTAAACATCCCGTATGATTAATAAAGGCATTTAACATCTGGAGTGTGCATTCTATCACTAACTAACAAAAACTAACTCTCTCTATTCGCTCAATATCTCTCTTTTGGTGTGAGAGAGCAATCATTTTAAAATTAGAACATCATTTCTAAAGAAAGAACCATGAAAAGCCAACAGCTGCAAAACAATTCTTCCACATATGCATGTCTCCACCACTTCCTTGAAGTTTTTGGTTTTGCATGGATAAAGACAAACACAGTGATGAATAGCGAAGCAGTCTGGGCGTTAGATCCCCAAAAATCGACTCCAGATGACCGAAGATGAAAGCTTGCGAGCATATGTATTAATTGCCATTGTGTCGGCTTGTACAACCACAATGAAGCGATGTAAAAATTAAACATGAGCTCGGCGCTTTGATATAAGCATGTGTGATGTTTACAGCCGACATTCACCTCGCCACTCTAGGTCATTTTATATCACAGGATATATCATAATGTCGTTCTTTGTTAGCTGGAAATTCAAATAAAATATAATAAAAACAATATAAACCTATAAACTCAACATAAATTCAATTTTAACAATACTGACATCAAGCGTAGCGTTAGTTCTGGCAGGTCACGTTAGTCAGTTACCCTTTGAATCAGACTAATTCTAAAATGTGTACATAAAATGATTGAACTTAACAATATCTGCAATACATTTATGTTGGTTCTGTTCTGTGTTCTGGGGGGTTATTGCTGCTCTCCCTGCTCTCATCCATGCTAGGCTGCATGGAGGCGCAGGGAGTTCTTGCCCAGAACAGAACCATACCGCCAATCCAAACTATATGCTAATTGTCAATCATCTTTGACGATAGTGGTCCTGACAGAAATATTTCTACCGTCACACAGTATACAGTATAGCGTCATACTGCCCAGTCCTACAATGCATATGTTCCAGATGTAAGGAAGTGACATAATGAAATGCAATCCACAGTATGGTGCGACATTACAAAGTCTGCAGTCCATGCTTTTGTCCTGTTGTACAATTTATTCCACTGGGATCCAAGTTTGGGGTCTTGGATTACAAAACAAACTGCTCAACATCTACCTGCTGATTAGATCAAATGAAAACTGAGCGCTAAAGCGTTGTCTAAGATGAAAACGCTGTTATTTTAATCCTGCAGATGTGCAAAATGGCCTAAATGATCAAAGCACTGAACATGTGGGCCGTTTTCTCAAAAAATTGCACTGCAGAAGCGCACAGCTAGACAACATAAACAACAATATTAGCCGTCATATCTGCAGTCGGTTCCCAGTCAAGTCCCCGCACACTTCCATCTCCTGATCGGAATAAGCCTGAATGATGAATGCACAGGATCAAACTCTTTGTTTTCAGGCTACTAGTGGGTTTTTTTAACACCCCAGATGGATGGGGAAGTTTATTTTGGGATGAAATCAGAATATTTCCACTTGTAAACACAGACAGGGCAGAGAATGATTGCATCTTTGAGATGTCTGTACATGTGTGGGATCAGAAAAGACAAAAAAAAAAAAACAGCCAAAGATAAGGCTCAAGTACAGTGCAACTTGATGGCCTTTTTCTCATCTGTTTTATTATCTGTCAAGAAAAAAAATTAAGTCTGACTGCTTAGAAAAGTAATATGATTTAAGGCATTATTCATGTATGTAGCACATATGAAGTGCCAAAATGTTTCTTAAAAAAGTTAAATCAAATATGATGTACTAGCAAGCACCACTAATAAGCCTAAAAATGTACTAAATGGATATTGCATTCTCTCAAAAGGAAGAGATGTTACTGCAGTGGCTAAATCAAGCATCTTGAACATGCAAGATTTTTACCAATAATGCCTCCACTGCAACAAATGTCCTATTAGCTGTTCTAAAACAACATATCGAAACTTTACCGGATAGCATGATTTCATCATTTAATAGACCAAATACAAAACTCTTTACCACAACTTCCACCATCTAAAATCAATCATCTGCACAAAAAAGAGCCTTGTGTCCAAACTTGTGACTCTTCTGCAGCACATGTTGTTTTGTGAGAGTGCTGGAGACCCATCTGTTGGACTGAAAGTGTGTGGGGGCTGTTACAAAATGTAAACCAGCTGAGGAGTCTGGCTTTTTAAAAAAAGTGTTAAACATGAACTTCCAACGAATTTCTGCTCTCAAGCAATCTTGTTTTTCCAAACTGATTGGAATAATCACTTCTCTTAAATTTTTTTTTTTTTTATGAATGCATGCATTCAAGAATGACAAAGTTGTTTACCCTGTGTAAGTTTACTGGGAAAAAAAACTTGGCACAAAAAATCTGGCAAAATAAAGTACCTTATGACTCCCTTTCTAGCTGTTTGAAATGAAGGTGAATAAAAATACAGCCTTCTTAAAAAAGATTAGCCAATTAAACTTCGCTTCCTTGAATCCATGACAACAAGAAATACACAGCTGCCTGAACTCAACACTGGAGACGGCAACCAAACTCTGAGAGAAGCTCCAGGATTCTTCATGATGTACTGTATGTGAGATTAACCAAAGTCTTATGGGTTTGGAACAACATGAAGGTGAGTAAATGATGACAGGGTTTTCATTTTTGGTGAACTATTCCTTTAACAAACACATACTAAAGGAACGTTCTAAGTTAATACAAGTAATTTCTTCCTTTTTAAAATGCAGAAATATAATGGCAATGGTGTCTGCAAATTTTTGCATTTGCATGATGTGGCATTTATGCTGTGCAGTATTTTAACAAAAAAGTTGCATGTTTCTGATTTAAGCCCTTGATGATAGTGCTTTGGATAGTGCTTAACTTGTATTGAACCCAGAACATTCCTTTAGAAGAGAAGAAATTTATGAAAAACAGGTCAAAAGGGAAGAAAAACGGGAGAAAAGTGATATGCAAGCTACGGAAAACTTGGACTACGAGACGAAGAGATAAAATGATAAAGAATCTAATGAGAAAAGAAAGAAAAGAGAGTGAAACATAGTCATGAGCACAAGTGCATCTAAAACGACTCACATCTAATCCAGGGTCACCTGGCTCTCCATCATCTCCCTTGGGTCCAGGGGTTCCTTTTCCACCCTTGAAAGTGAGAATTTAAAGAAAGTGCAAGAGAGAAGAAGAGAGATTAGATAAGAGGAATTGTCTTTGCTGTGTCAGTTCATCAGCCGTCTCCGCTCAACGTCTGGACTCAGATCCACAGTCTAGACAATTTACATCTGCTAGGGATAAGCTGTTGTGCTTCTATTGCAATACACAATCCCTGCTGTGAGTCACATATGCACTAACCCCTGATGAATCAAGACATTTGTGAATCAACGGTTAGGCATGCTAATAAAAACCACTAATAAATCACATGAATCATTCTCAATATTAACATCATCCTCCATATGGAGGCCATCGTTTAATCTGTAAATAATTTTGAGTTTCATGATAACCACAGACGTGAATTATACGCTCAGTTGTAGAGTACAGGGAAGAGGATATTTTCCCATTCATTTTCTCCATAGGGATTAAAAAAAGAAAAAAAATCAGCTCCAAGATAAATGACAGAAAAAAAAAATATATATAAAAGTAAATAAATAAAAACATAAATAAATACGACAAAATCACAAGAGTGTATGTATTTCATTAAGGAAAAAACTACTCATTCACGCTTATAAACTATTTAACTATGTTATTAATTATCATTAATAAAATATGAAGTCACTGATTATAAGTTTAAAGTTTCATGCAAAATATTCAAACATGAAAATATATAACTGTTTGAGAGTGGGAGATTTGATTACATCATTCTCAATGATTTATGAGAGTGGGAGGTTTTTCAGCAACAGAAACTGTGATTAATGGCTCTCTCTCTGCAGACTGATTTGGCACTTTGCTGTAAATATAATTTTTTTTAATTGAAATGAGCATATATCATTACTTAATAAATTAAACGTGTTACTCATTATCAATCAAAATCAGTTTCTCATTGGAAGCAATCAATGGGATTATTACTTCTTGAACACTATTGGGTTGTATTCAAAATTAGATCTTATGTAGGGTTCAGGATACTTACAGGTGCTCCTGAATTTCCCCTGGGCCCAGGATAACCCTAAAAAGACACAAAACACACACTTAAACAATACAGATACTCCACTGAATGTTAATTATTTATGGCAAGATGTTTAATAAATTGGGAGGTCTTCTACCTGGAAGCCATGGCAACCCTCGGTTCCATTTCCTGGTGGTCCATCCTCACCCTAAGCAGGTAAAAAAAAATTGTTACAGCAATAGACAACTGCCTTTGGTTAGTTAAAACCAGTTCTGAAGATCAACAGGATTAACTCACCCTCTCTCCCATCAGGCCTCTGTCTCCTGGGGCCCCTTTGATTCCTCTGGGCCCTTTAGCTCCCTAAAGCACAGACATGCAACATGGGAAATGTAGATAAGTCACAGATACAGCAATAGGTCAGGTCGAAAGATAATCAAGACTAGTTAACCTTACCCACCTCTGGCCCAGTAGGACCCTCATCGCCACGGTAACCTGGTGCCCCTGTCCTTCCTAGCTCGCCCTGTTGGAAATGGGGAAAAATTATATTCCTGAAGGTATTCAAATATATTAGGATCCCTCTGTTGGGGTTGAAAAATACTCTTTAGCCAGCCTAAACTAGTTTTCTTAGATCTCCCAGCTTGGTCAGGCTGGTGTTTAGCTGGACAGCCAGCTAGTCTCCCAATCTTACTGGCTGAAAAAGACCCAAAGCCCCTTTAAAAGAAGCCAACAGGCCAGTCTGACCTCACCAATTTTTTTAATTGAATGTGAAATTATTAAAAAAATATATTTTATTATTTTATAATTACTAATTCTCTTTCATCTTTGTATATTTTGGATCTACGCACCATATGTGTTTTGCCTACTGGATATTTGGACGAGTGTTTGGCGCTACTACCTTTTTTTGTGGATTATAATTACTAATTCTAAAATAATTATTTGAATGACAGAGAGCCATTCATAACAACATGACCACATATTGGAATCATACAGTTATCTAATGTTTAGCTTTTTGCTGGCCTTATCTGAGTCATTGACTAAAAATATAATTTTGGTAAATGACTCGGTAATAAAGAAAAAAAAAAGGTAATTTTTTGTATTTACTGCAGCGTTACATTTCCAAGAGGGGAATCTGACACATTGGCGCATTAAATCAGTAAAAAAGCAGGCTTTGAGAAAGCAGTGGCTCATGAGTTCAGAAGCCCATCCAGATTCCCACCTATTTGAACACTTGGTTCTTTCCCATCCCACCCACTCAAACTCTACAGGATTCGCTGGTAACTTCAAGCACAAAAGTGAGCACAAAAGTGAACTGGTAACTTCAGGCACAAAAGTGAGCATTTGGATAACAGCAGTCCTCGGTAGTCGCTAATGAAGATTATGTGAGAGCCTTAAGAGCAGCTGGGCTGCACAAACGGCTGTTTTTGAGAAACAACAGATGACTTTGAGAAAACCATGAAACTGAGGAGCCAATCGGGCACGCACATGCTCCAAACACTCTCACGTAAGCTACACAGGAAATTTAGAGTCCTGAGAGGCAACGGAAATTTGTCGGTCTGTTCGCAGTTGGCCTGGCAGATTACAAGAGCTGTAGAGAGAAGTCAAGTGCTGACAGAACTAACATACATGGAGTTCTGTGGTGCAGCTGGTGATGTTGTAAGCCTCAAGAATCCAAGGCCAAAATCTAAGTAGATTAGCTCGTTTCAGCTGGGAAATCTTGAGTCAGGTCTGGCATGTATAATCACTCTCAATGTCCTTCCTAAAGCTGAATCATTCTAATAAATGTTACTCAACGCCTAGAAACTAGCCAAACCCTTTGATTAAGACAAGAATTTTTGTCTTGAGATAAACACATTATGCACATGTGGTCAAAAACACAAACAAAAAAACTCTAGATGGTGTCATGAAACTCTAGATGGTGCAGACCGATAGGTCCTAACTCAATCTGACATAATCATGTCATACACATGGCACAGCCGACTGGTGTTTGTTGCATCAGCAGCCAATGAGCTTGCTGCTCAACATTCAAATACTTGGCCATTGTCTGCCATAGCAGTTTGCAGCACGCTTCACAAACCCTCCACCTTCCCCAGCTCCACCTGTATAGATCTGCTATGCATAATTTCACATATATTATATGTGCAGGGTACTCTCATATATGTTATATGTGCTGCAGCAGTATTTCTTACATGCTCACAGCAGCAAGTTTAGGTACTTGCTCTGCCACAGCAGCAGCGTAGCACATTAACCTTGCCAAGTATATTACCATACTAATCTTTCTGAGAGTTGTCATGACAGAACTATAAATACTTACATATTAAACAATCTAAAACAATCACCAGTGCTTTTCTATTTGAAATTATCTATGTTTTTATGTGATTAGGGCCTGGGTGGAAGAACTTACAGCCTAAATGAATTTTAGACACTCAGTCAACGTAAACAACGTCATCTTTTACTACACAGAGTGTAAGATATTTCTTTCAGGGAAGGACATTTGTATGCTTTTAGGTATTAAATACATCTGTTGAACTGTATCTGCTGCTTAGTTTTGAACTCGCCCAGCCGGTCTAACATCGTCCATCTGGAGTCCATCTGACCTTGGGAACTTATATAGCTTTCCTTGTTTGTCCTCCCACTGCCCAAACCATCACAAATAGCAGAACCACTGGCCGTATTTCTTTGTTCCTCAAGTTACCTTCTAACACAGCCCAGAGGGTCCAATGATCTCAGAGATTTCAGAGGGACTCTCAGAATGCCTGTGGCCTGAGGTCATAAGCTTTCATCCTTGTTCAAGCTCTTATGTCTTACATACTACACAATTCTGCTCTGTATAATTCTAGATTAACATTTAAGGAAGTGTATAATTGCATAAAGATGATAAAATGATCGAGTTTAGAGGCTTGAACTCCCGCAGTGTCTTGGTTCAGGCAGGATAATGCTGAAGGGCATTAGACACTCAAAATCTGTTGTATACAACTCACAGAGGTGAACTGGCCCCACGACTGAGCCTGGTTTCTCTTCCATTTCTGTCACCGAATGAGTTTTGGTTCCTTGCCACTGTCGCCTTTGGCTTGCTTAGTTGGGGACACTTGACTGATTGCACAGACACTACTGGAAGAGAGCTGAACTGGATGATGATATCACTGGATCATCAATGAACTGACTTTAGCTGGAAAAATGACTCTTTGTTTTTGTCCTCTTGCATTATTGACAAACTATTTTCCTGTTTGACACTGTAAAGCTGCTTTGACACAACCAGTATTGTATAAAGCACTATATAAATAAAGGTGACTTATAATAGTTTTCTTCACTCACTCACCGGCTCTCCGTTTGGCCCTGCTGATCCCTCACGTCCTTGTTCACCCCGGGGCCCAGGTTCACCCTGCCAGAGTTAAAAGTCCATATTCAATTCACTTGTCTCATTCTTTCAAAACATAATAGTCTTCTTGGGTGCATAAACACCAAAGGCTTAAAGGGTTAGTTCAGCCAAAAATGAAAATTAGGCTGCGTTTCACTCACCCCCGATGCATCCTAGGTGTATGAAACGCAGCCTGATTTTCATTTTTGGCTGAACTAACCCTTTAAGCTGTCAAAAAGCAATTTACCGAACAGAACATGCACAATTAATATCTAATGAATTTGTTTGAAACAGACATTATGTATATCTGTGCATATATTACATGTCAGATATGTTTAATTTATGAAAATGTGTATTTGATTAACAAGAGAGACTTTAGAGCCATTTCACTTATTAGTGAGAACACTACGTGTCTTAGGTCAACATGAAATCAAAATGAAACCAATTTACTTTCTTGTGAGCAATTCATTTGTGTGCTATTTCAATGAGAAAAAAATATGCAGAAAGATGTATAAAATATTTCAACCTTTCAGTTTAACAAAATTATTATTGATAAAAATGTAAAGACATAATCGTGTGTTAAATAGTCGACATTTACATAGAAAGTAGAAATGTTGGCATAGAAGTCATAACTATGACTAAAAGTTTTTGTTATCACTTTATATCTCATAATTTCAACTTTTTATGTCATAGTTATAACCTAATGTCATAACGTCCACTTGTCATAATTATGACTTTTTATGTCGTAATTTAGACTTTTGTCATAGTTATAACCTATTTTGTCACAATTTCGACCATTTATGTCATAATTATGGAGGAATTTACAGCCTAAAATGTTTTGACATAAAACTATGACAAAAAGTCAATTTTATGTTTTTTTTTTGTCATAACTACGAGTTAGTAGCTCATAATTTCAGCTTTTTATGTCATAATTGTAACCTAGTATGTCATAATTTCAACTTTTTATGTCATAATTATTAAGGAATTTACAGCCTAAATGAGTTTCAGACACTCAGTCAACCCTACAGCCTAAAATAATGTCATCTTTTACTACACAGAGTTTAAGATATTTCTGTCAAGGAGCAACATTTGTTCACATGTTTTTAAATATTAAAATGCATCTGTTGATCTGTATCTGAAGCTCAGGTCCACAAAATAACTGTTATTATTAATGGCTTGCGAATGTCATTTCAAGTTTATTTTAAATGATTAGTAGGGTTTTACCATTGTGTTTGGAAGGGATGTATTGTGGGATATTTTCTAAATGCGACATATACTCACAGGGTCGCCTCTGGGCCCTCTGTTACCGCGGGAACCTTGTTCACCTTTCTCACCAGGTGTGCCCTGTAACAGAAAAACACATCAGTTCAGATCGCCTGCATATCTTGACCCTCACATGTAAAAAATGCAAAAAGACCCACATCTGCAAACAACATGAAACACAACCATTCACATGTCAAGCTACTAAGACAGAAGTAAATATAAATGCTTGGTTACTCTTTCTCCTCCTGTGCCATCTGGTCCTGGTGGTCCCTAAAAAGAACAGGAAATTGAAAAAAAAAAGAACAAAGAAACTGTTAGATAATACTAAAAGCAGGTCTGTCAGCCATTACTACATTGCATGTTTAGAATCCAAGTCTTTAAAAAAGTGACAAAAAGAGTAAGAACACTTACGTCATCTCCTCTCTCCCCTTTATCGCCATTGGCGCCACGAGGACCCCTGTCTCCCTGAAACAACAAACAATGGGATTGCAGATAAGCCAATGTCCTTTAAAATGAGTTATAATGTAAAAAACCCATAAAGTCAAACAACAGCGTTAGTAAATCCTAACTAACCTATGTCAAGGGTTATGTTACATTTACCAGCCAAATAAAGTCATGACATAAAACTATATTTAATGCAAGATCAAAATCCTCTGTACCTTCGCCCCTGAAGACCCATAGTTTCCAGGTCTTCCTGGTTCACCGTCTCTGCCAGGATCTCCCTGAAATCAAACCCAGAAGATATGTTTTTAAAGATGTTTTCCTGCTTGAAATGACTCATAATAAGGTTATATCACAAATTATATCTCTTTAAGACAACACTCAAGTATCTAGCATCTCAGATGTTTTCCTGAGAAAATGTCTATGTCTCAAATTGTGCTTAGATTTGCCAAAATAAAGTCAGCAATCAAAAATCAGAGGTCTTAGTATAAACTTGTAATTCTCAACAATAGTCCTCAAGGATGGATGTTTTTTTTTTGGGATTTAGCAAGGATGCATAAAATTGATCAAAAGTGACTGTAAAGACATTGTTTCACAAGATTTCCATATAAAATAAAAGCTGTTCTTTTGAACCTTATATTTATTAAAGAGTCCTGAAAAAAATGTATCACAGTTTCCACTAAAATATTAAGCAGCACAACTGTTTTTAACATTGATAATGATAAGAAATGTTTCCTGAGCACCAAATCAGCATACCGTGACAGGAATAAATTACATTTTAAAACAGATTAAAATAGAAAACAATTATATTTTAAATTGTAATAATATTTCACAATATTGCTGTTTTTACTGTAATTTTTTTTTTTTTACTTTGATCAAATAAATGCAGCCTTGATGAGCATAAGAGACTAAGAGCTCTTATTGATGTCTAATCTTGATTTCTAACTTAATCTAAATTTTAAAATCAACCTTTCATTCTTATCCCTTACTCTTTCTCCTTTAAGTCCATATTGCCCGGGATCTCCTTTAGGACCTGGTTCTCCTTGGAAGCCCTACCAGATGAAATAAAAATTATTTATGAATAAAGGAGAAGAACACACAACCAGATATCCTACTTTTCTTTTAGTATATTCTTTACTACAGAATGTAAACAAAGTACAAACACTGTGCAGAGTTGTGATGTCAGATTTGGTAAATGTTTGGCTGCTCATAAGGCAAACATCCCACGTCCTGGTCTCCAGATGCAGGCTGAGTAGAAACAGCTGCTCCTAAAACTGACTGACAAACTGTTCAGCCTATGAGCATTGCTTAAAGGGCCGGGATCATCTACAGTCCTAGTGAGGTGATGTTTTATAGGCGAATGAGAGCCAACTTCTCAGCCAATTAGATTCTGATATCTAAACTTGTAGATCTATAACTTAATCTATAAATCTCAAATGCATCTGGATCAACAGAAGCTCAAATGCATCTGGATCAAAGTAATATGATGTGAACATGCAAACATGCACTCAGCTGATAGACTGTCATGGGAGTCCATGAACATGCAAAAGCCCTGTAAACACTTACTGAAAGTGAGTACAAGTATAAAACCTGCTACAAATTTCATTTTATATATCCTATATATATATATAATTTCATCCTATAAGTATATGTATGCACAAAAGGAACATCTGGCAAACAAATAAGATTTATAAAAAGATATTTTTGCACTCTAACCTGTGCAAATTTCCTTTTTAAACCCCAGTTAGCAGATTTATAAACATACATGCACAAGTGTAATTCCCTACCCAGAATATTAATAATAGATACTTTGTTTTGAGTACTAGAATATTAAAATTAATATATAGCTTGATCATGACTACCTCTGATTTAATTATGGCTTATCCATGGTTAAAAAAGTGCAAACGATGCACACTTTTTTTCTCTTAAAAATTACATATTTTTGACAGATAATAGTTGTACTTACATCTGGCCCTGGTGACCCTTTGCAGCCTGGAAGGCCTGAGAATCCCAGCTCACCCTATGAAATATAATACAAACACACAAAACATAAACACTCTTCTTCATGGTGGGAGTCAAACACCCCGAACTGCACGTAATTACCTCGAGGGTGACACCATGCAAAGAAAGAGTAAAGAAATAAAGTACTAAGGAAAGACATTACAAATCAAGATTGCATGCAATGGAGACCGAAAATAACAACAGAAACAGATACATGTTGTAAATCACACCAAGTTTTACTGTGAACTCAGATGAATCATGAACAGATGGGGGAGTGAAGTTAAGGGACAGTGACTTGTTGAGTGGAAAATGCCTTGGAAAGAGTTACAGTACAATGTTGAGAACTAATCGAGGAGCAAATCGAAGTGGTGAAGTCAAGGGTCAGAGACACTAGACTAGGCTGTTTTCCCAAAGGGCAGACACACTTAAGAAGAGACAGAAATGAAAGCAGAAATGGGATAAGTGTCAGAAAAACAAGAGAGATGGCCATGCAATGTTTTCGGTATCTATTGTTCACATACTGTTAACCTGAAATCTGACACAGCATACCAAAGAAAGCAGCACAGGAAGATGAGAGAGAAATAACGTCAAATCTAACAGCAGTGTATTATTTGTCAATATTCAATTCATTTAATCATCCTCATGTAATTTCAAACCAGTTTTAAACTTTCGTTTAACACAAAGGGAGTTATTTTGCAGAACATCCATGCTGCTTTTTCCTGCACAGTGAAAGTGAATGGGGATGCGGCGCTGTCAAAAAAGCAAATAAAAGACGTACCATACAATTTGTGCACTATATATTCCAAATCTTCTAAAGGCCATTTGATAGCTTTGTATGAAGGACAAATCAAAATGTAAAGCATTACTAAAAATCCTTGAACTATCATTTGTTAATTTGACACTGCCATCACATGACTGTACATGAACACGAACAAAATTTGAAAACTATGGAAGGTTTGAAAACTATCGGAAGATTTTCTGATTTAAATAACCTAATTTTCAGTCTCATCGCTTTAAAATGTAGTCATATAAGCCATTTTATTCACACTTATGATCTTTTGAAGTCATCCTTAGACCTTGATGATCCCTGACTCCATTCGCTCTTAATATATGGGAAATAGCAGCAAATATTATGCAAAATTTCTCATTTTTTGGTGCATGGAAGAAGAAAATATATAAAGGTTTGGTAAATTTTTAGGTGCACTATCCCTTTAAAATGCTGTTTTTGTGTCATATAGGAAGAGGACATCAGCACTTACCTTACGTCCATCGACGCCATCAAGACCATGATGACCTTTGTCTCCCTAAAAGTAGGATTGGGTTTCAATTCAGCATGATAAACAACTGGTAAAAACTGGCAAAACTGAATAAATAAAGAGAATGCTAATAAATAAGCTCACCTTGAAGCCTTTATGACCTCTCTCTCCCTACAGATAAAACACAAGTGCATTTGTGATGTTTAGCAGTACCAGAATAAATTATGAGAGAAAATAATCAACTGTAGACCCTTAGAATGTGCTTTTGATTAAAAAAAAATGTCTGTCGAATCAGCAAGGAAGCTCTGTCTCTTTTACCTTATCACCTCTTATTCCTTGGTCTCCCTGGAAGGAAAGGAAAATAGTATGGATTATCGTTTCGGCAAGAGCGCACAAATCAACTGTAATATCAACAGAATGTAAATATTTGTGAGAGAGAGCGGAAGACAGACCTTCATTCCTTGGTAACCGACTGGACCGGGATCACCAGGACTTCCCTAATAGGAGAAGGAAAGAAACATCAGAGAGAAATGCCAAAAATAATTTTGCTGGATATGGTAGTGATATAAATAACTAATGCAGAGATATTTGCTAATATGGCTGCCCTGAAACCTACAGTGACAATATTAACAGGCCTTAAGTGAGGATAAACAAGGATAAAGCCAGATTCAAGTCTGAGATTGTATCTTTAACCAAAATATTCCTACAGGGCTTTAGGGGGTCAACTGTATGCTGTGATTATTGTTATGTCTACACAATCAGTGTTTGCTGTTAAATAATAGAATAGCTGGCTCAGTCACCATTTGCTGTTTAATAGCATAGCTGGATGCTTCCCAGTGTGTGTGCTTCTTTTATGACACTTCCAAGGACTAAATTTCGGAAGACATCCTTACAAACATAGGAAAACTGTATGCATGTTTCAGACAGGACATCCACCAGCAATTTCAGAGAAAAAAAAACACATTTTAACAGATCGTTGAAATCGTAACAGCTGCAGAAGATGAAAGACCTCGGGATCAGTCGAGGGTTTTGCTTTGATTGGATTATCAACAAAGAAATCCAGGGACACATGGAACATTTATTCGACACAATGAATGGCTCATAGCCATATGAAAAGTATTAATCAGCACAATAATAGACACATACAATTGACTTTTTACCTGACAGCTGTATATTTTCACTTCATTCTAAAGGTGCGGACATATTTATTGTTGCGGGCAAAATCCATTAATTTAAATAGCATATTTACCGAATCTACACAATCAGGAATTTTGTGTGAGGTTGAAAGATTTCCTCATGCAGATTTTGCAGCGTTGATCATGCATATTTGCTACATTGACCAACAGAAAGCTTCTTGGTTTGAAAGTGATTTCAGTGTGAGCGGTGCTTTATACAGTCCATCTCTACATTATCGACAATAGACAATTAACCTTTTTTGCTAATGCTAATGTGACCGCACCTTTAGTATACTGTGTAAAGCCCATTCACACCAACAGTGATAACTATAACGATAACTATATTAGCGTCCACATCAACGCATGATTTTATTCCGTTTATTATAAGTGTGCAGTGCCGTTTTGTCGTCTGCCGCTTTAAATGATTGAGTGTTTTAAAGATTTGAAGGATTCTGATTGGCTGTCAATGTTTTGTAAAATTGTTCTGAAAGTGATTCCAATGATATTGTTTCTCTGTGTTTTTATCTCTATTCTCATAGAATTAGAATCATTTAAAACTTTGACTTGTAAATGGGCTTTTAGATGTGAGTTATGACACCTCACTTCTATTAAATCTGTAAAAATAAACTAGATTCTTTAGAAAATTTTGATTTTTGTTGGCATCTAATCATCTGCAAGCTGAAAATCATAGGTCGACAAGTTTGGTGCCAAAGTTTAATACTTAAGATTAAGAGTTTTTTTTTAAATCCCTACATCTAAATATGAGCAAGTTCAGCATTACAATTGATCCCGAGAGTTTTCTGGATCAGAAACAAAGTGGAGGAGCACAGAAATTTCAGATGTACTCCTACAAACACCCACTATCACTTCTGAACAGGAGCATATCTAAAAGCAGATGCTTACCGGAGCTCCAACATCTCCTTTCTCTCCCGGCATGCCTGGTCTTCCAGCCTCTCCCTGCAGAAAAAGAAAAGTTTAGGCCACAGTCATCTGTGCATGCTGATAGTGAATTAAACGTGAATACTTGTAACATTTCATAGGAATACACAGGTGCTTTCTATGCATATGGATGAAGAAGCAACATAAAGACATAAAAAATAGTTTTTTTTAATACTCACTCTTTGTCCTAAGTCACCAGGTGGTCCCACAGGGCCTCCAGGGGCCTGTGAAAATATTGCATGAAACATTTAGAAACAGAAAACATTCATACAAGATGTTTGAATGGATTAGACAAGTAATGTTACTTACGTTGCAGTCAAAGGAGCAGCACTGAAAGAAAAGATTAAGAAGACATAATTAATATCCTAATGTACAAAATAAAAATGAGTGTTGCATTAAATGTGCAAAAGCTATGGAAAAGCCACATACCACATCCTTTGTTTCATTTGTCTAGAATGAAAATCCAAAAAGAGGGAGAGGACAACATTAGACAAAATCTACACACACAATTGGTTTTTTTTTTTTTTACATTACATTTTTCATTTTTTTTGTTGATAAGATTGCCACTGTTAGATCTCATATCTCACTTCCCTCTGTTGATCCATCTATCACTAGCATGTGCTCTGCTGTTTTTAACCAGTTTGAGCCTGTGTCTCTTTCTTCTTTGAGAGATATTATTGGTAAAATGAAACCAGAATTTTACACATGCAATAATTGAACCATTGTTTTTTTTGTTTTTTTTACATTTTTACATTACATTTTTCATTTTTTTTGTTGATAAGATTGCCACTGTTAGATCTCATATCCCTCTGTTGATCCATCTATCACTAGCATGTGCTCTGCTGTTTTTAACCAGTTTGAGCCTGTGTCTCTTTCTTCTTTGAGAGATATTATTGGTAAAATGAAACCAGAATTTTACACATGCAATAATTGAACCATTGATCAAAAAGTAAAATTTGGACAGCTTGGTTCTCGCCAATTTCAGACCTATATCAAAACTGCCATTCCTGTCCGAAGTATTAGAGAAGGTTATATTTATACAATTGCAATCTTTTCTAGATCTACATGGGTTTAAGGAAGTGTTCCAATCTGGTTTTAAATCCCGTCATAGCACTGAAAGTGCACTTGTAAAAGTTTTTAATGACCTGTTACTAGCCACTGACTCAGGTGATTATGCTCTTCTCTTGCTTTTAGAACGTACGGCTGCATTTGACACTGTAGGCCTTAAAGGGGTCATATGATGTTGCTAAAAAGAACATTATTTTGTGTATTTGGTGTAATGAAATGTGTTTATGCGGTTTAAGGTTCAAAAAACACATTATTTTCCACATA